GGTATTGATGGCAGCGTGGCGTAGACTGTCCCGAATGACTGGCGCTTCGAGATCCATGACTGGATGGACAACTGATGAAATTGGCATTGCGTGGCTCGAAAATTCCTTCATTCCATACGTCAAAAGCGTCGACATGTGCCTGGTCTGCCTTGGCTATGGATGGCCATCGGAGTCATGTCACCCTCGATTCGAGTTTATCTGATGAAAGAACAATATTGTGCCAATTTGTATGCCATCTCATTCATCGCATCTATTACCACCACTATGTAATGTTGTTTTAGTGTATTGAAGCACTTTGATGGTCAGGCAGGTAAGACTTGCAGTGTGAAACTCACACATATTGTAAGCCTGACTTTTTAGTTCTCAACCCTGGAAAACACGCGCAGCAACATACAAAACCTCTATGTTGCTAGCAGTTTTATTGGCAGCGGGCATTATTCCATATTCGCCAGAGACAGTACTATCAAAACTTGATATTCATCCCCCATCGCCTATACCACCACCATACACATGGTAGTGATAGCAGTCGTGGGATTCATAGCACCTCATACACCATCCAAGCTATCAAACTTCAATGGCAGGCCTCAATCAGCGATTACTAGTCATAGGGATATAACCCCTGATAATGATATATCGACAATTGGAGCACACTACCAGAGGTGCACAATCACTTGCTCACGAGATGGTTATGTTAAAGAGACATATGAGCGTGTAATGGCCGAAAATGGACGCAATAGAAAAAAAGCTTTACCAAATAGGCAATTACCTTACGAAGGTGGAATTACAGCAGAGGACCTGCAATTGCGTGTACAAATTGAATATGAGCCCAATTGGCACACCCCCGGCGCCACGCCGCGCAACCAGGACGACGATTGGAGAACTATACAGCGCTGTGGCAATTGCAGGGAGCCAGGGCACAAGCGGAATAGGTGCCCAGTTGTGAATAACGCCTAGTTTTTGCAATATATTATATGGTGGTTGAGTTATATTCAATATATATCGTCGTAATCGGGTGGGGTGGCCCGTTCGGTTGTCCGGCCCGTTCGGTTGTGGAACACGTTAATTACTACTAACTAGTAGTTAGGTGATGTGTATGTGCATTGCTGATCCAGTGGATTGACAACTTCTTTCGAAATTGAATATCGTACTTGTACATGAGATATAATTCTTTTGATCCAATTTCCAGTAAACAATTCCGCAATGTCCGGGCTGAATCCCCGAGGACAATGTACAAACCCCGCTGAACTCCACATAGTGCCGTATAGGAAAGGACATGACGAAGATGAGACCAAGCAGGTAGGCAGATAGAAAGGGTATTAAATGAGACTCGACCTGAACAGAAAACCATCTAGAAGAACTAGCGCAACCACAGCGCCGGCTCCTTAATACCGGGTCCGACCGAGAGTTGGGGCCCAGGCGACAGGGTGAGCCTCAGGCGTGGCATTTTCATCCTGCTTCCACACCTTAACAGCTTTATCCGCCTCACCGGTAATGAGACGAAGCCCAGTCTTATCGAATGTCGAGGCCATAATACCCGCCTCGGCATCGAGAGAACCAGGCTGGGCCATGGTATCGATAGATTGGAACTGGGGCCAGTCTTCCAGTCCCAGAAGCCCATGGAGCCATTATCACCGCCGGAGAACATGACATTTTCATCATTGACGGCCAATGAGTTGATGACAGCGTTTTGGCCGTCGAAGTTCTGCATAAACGCGCCCTCGGGACACTTCCACTGCTTGATACTACCAGTGCTGGCACTGGCGAAGGTGAATTCAGTCGGGTGGGTCGCAAGCGCACGAACACCCTTCTTGTGGTGTGTCAATACGCCCATCGATTTACCAGCCGCAAGATCCCACAATCGCACCGTCGCATCCAGCGAGCCGGAAATAACTGCGGGTCCGCTTCCTGGCACTTGATATCCGCGACCGTACCTTTGTGTCCCGCCAGAACGTGGACGTTGCTTCGAGTACGCATATCCCAGACACGGCACACACCATCGCGACCACCGGTCACGAGCAGATCGAGATTCGGGTGCAAAGCCAGCGTGTAAACACCACTCAAATGACCGTGGTAGTGACGGATAACCTTGTTCGTCTCCAAATCCCAGCACTTAACCATCTTATCCTCTCCGCAAGAAAACAAATACGGGTGTCGCGGCGACACCGCCAATCCGCGCACCGTCGAGATGTGGCCCGTCAGGGTGAGTCGAAGGTTTCCAGTCGCCATATTCCAGATTTTGATCGTGCGATCGCCGGCACCACTTGCAAACCATTGGTTGTTAGGCTCGACAGCCAGTGCCCTCACCCAGCCCAGATGGCCGGAAATCACGCGCGCATCAGTTTCCACGGCGCGTGCCACTCTGGAGGTTGTTGCTTGGTTGCTGAGGGTCTGGCGATCAGACTCTTTGGCTGATCCTCGGCGCCTCCTGCCAGACCTGCGCCGCCGGCTGCTCCGGGTGCTGGTCGCTTGACGAGCGACATTGATGCTCCGCTCTTGTCTCCGGAGGCTTGGGCTTGGGCTTGCTGCGCGGATTGGATCTTAGGACGCTTGCTGCGGACGCTTGCTGCGCCGCTTGCTTCGCTGCAAGGACTGGGGGTAATTCCTTCACGTGCTCATATTCTGCTTTCCGTCGGTAGGAGACGCCGATCGAACCGTCTGTGGAGGTGGAGGGTGTGACCATTAGGTATTCTCGGCCGAAGAGGTCGGCAGTTCTCTTGGCGGAGTTGCGGAACAGCCTGTTCGGCTGATTGGGATGGTTCGAAGTCCATATTGTGTGAGGTATTGATGGGAGGTGGGTTTAGACGGTTCGGTTCTGGCGCGATAGCTCCAAGGATTCTTGCGCGTAACGAAAACCCTGCGCCGGGTCGCGAGTGGAGTTGACTGGTATGGTGGACTCAGCGCATACAGGGGCTTTGCTTTGAGAGAAGGGGATTCGAAGAGTCGAGAGGAGATTGGCGTTGCGGGGGGAAGGGTGTGGTAGTAGATGCGGTGGTGAATCTCGGAAGGAATTGAACAAGGTTGAAGATGAAGTTCTGGTTCGCCGCCGCCTGATTTTCCAGGCGTCAACAGACCACCACCTTCTTATCGCAGCTCTTATCGACTCTACCCTTCTTCCAGCAACCTTAGAAAGTCGAAAGCGTCATGGATCCCAACCAAACTGCCAAATTTCCTCTCCATGAGGCTGCCCGGGAGGGTAGGAGTAAGTATTAATATCTTGAATTTTGTGGGCTTTGATATACTAAGATATCTGCAACAGACCAGGTTGTCGAATCCCTACTCAACGTGAGTTGATCGCCATAGAGCTGCCCCGCAGGAAACCCACCGACTACTGCCAGCTACCATCTACGGGTTATAAAATTACTGACCAAGATTCCAGGCCAATCCAAAGTCTGCGTTTGTGAAAGATGAAGATGATCGTCTTCCTATTCACTGGGCTGTAGCCTATAATCACATGCCCGTTGTGGAGCTGCTTGTTTCCATGAAGAACTTTGATCCCGATGTTGAAGTACGTATCTCATTCAGCAGAATCTTCCTACACCCTCCCTTGATTGTAAATTGGATACTGACTTGCGGGCTTATAGGATGGATCCGGTTGGACCTCATTGATGATCGCGGCCAGTCTCAAGGATGCCGGGGTGACAAAATTCTGGAGCTCCTATTGCGTAAGGGCCGAAGTCTCCGTTAAGAGCCATTCGGGGCAGGTAAGCCGCACCCATACTCTATAATCTATTTCCTAGAATCTGACGAATGGCCTAGAATGCGTTGCACTTTGCAAGCTCCAAAGCCAACATCTCCACTGTGCGAATCCTAATTGCCAACAAATGCAGTGCTCGTGTTAAAGATATCCGCGGTCAACTGCCTCTACACCGGGCGGCAGCCGTAGGATCCGTTCCTATCCTACAGAACCTCCTGGAGGAAGGGAAGAGCCCCGTTAATGCAACGGACGGGGACGGCATGACAGCTCTTCACCAGGCTATTTCGGAAGGCCATGGCCCTGCTGCCATTCTCCTACTCAAGTCCGGCGCAGATGCCGAGAAGAGAGATGGTGATGGAAAATTGGCAATTGAGTTGGTCCCAGACGACAAGGTATGTGTGATCTTATTATTCATTCTGTGGGTAATCGCAGTGATTATTTGCGATAACGACTAACTCTTATTTTCTTGGCCCCACAGGTTAAGCAGTATATTTTGCAAACTGCTGAACGGGAGGGGATCGAGCTACCTTGAAATTAGTCCATCTATCTTATTACATTTTTTCAAGCTCAATGTAAGCTGCATGCATAAAATATTCGTCAGCATTACTCGACATTACCTCGGCGGCCGGCTTCCAAGGCTTCTTCCCCGCATTTCACGCGTTTTGCCCCCGCTGCCGTTGTTAAATAGCATACCCTCCACGTAGATGTAGGCTATCTTTGGCCTGTGAACGGAATATTCACTTCACTTTTATCTAATTGGTGAATGAATTTAAACCTAAAATTGCCGCAGTCTGGTGGAAATTAGAACATCTCATGCAGGGTGGTATGTTTCAAGTTGCCAGTCTCTAGCGTTGGAGTAGATATGCAGGTGCCCATAGTCGCTGCAGCGGAGCCTTCAGTCAGCCACTATGAATGGGTCACTCCAACCATACTAGTATATTTAGAAAAGAGGGGTGCTCGTAATTAAGTCTGGACCGATACTGGAGTCTGTCCGACATCATATCGCACAACTCCTCCCGCTTCCCCTGGACATTCCCCCTTCAGTGATCCCAGTCACCAAAATGTCTTCAATCCCAGGCAGTACGCGTTTGCCTGTCGGTAATAAGGACTTTACAAATGCCACAGTAGTCATTATAGGTGCCGGCATTTCGGGTAAGATAGCTCTATCTCCCTGTCAAACTACCATTGGCTAACGTCGCCTTAAGGGATGTGTATGGCCATTGACCTCATCAAGCGAAACAAATGTTACAACTTTGTGATTCTGGAGAAGAGCAGTAGTGTAGGAGGAACTTGGAATGACAACAAATATCCAGGTTGTTGTTGTGACGGTTGGTCGCCCCGCCCATTTTATCCACGTACGAACATCATTGTTGACATAGTATTACAGTATGGAGCTCCCTTTACAGCTACTCGTTCGAGCAAAGCTCGAGGTGGAGTAGAGAATATCCGGGCCAGGAGGAGATTCATGTATCTCTCTATTCCTTCTATTCCTCTTCTTATATCGAGATACGCGGGCTAATACTCTCTCCCATCTTTAGGCATATCTCGTTAGCATAGCCGAGAAGTACGGTCTCTACAAGCACATCCGATTCAACTCTACAGTCGAAGAAGCGCGCTGGGATGACGAAGAGTCGAAATGGAAAGTCTCTGTTCAAGTCTCTGGGCACAAGATAGCGAGTTCGCCAACTCCTATGTCATCAACTCGGAGTTCTTGATCTCCGCGGTCGGCCAGCTGAATCTTCCGCGCGAGCCCGATATCCCGGATTAAAGGAATTCCAGGGCAAGATGATGCATTCTGCCCGATCGGACTGGAGTTATAATTTGAAAGGGAAACGAATCGCGATTATTGGCAACGGTACGCATAGAATGTTCATGAAGAAGCAGATCTATATAGCGCATGCTAAATAATCGTCCCAGGTGCAACGGCCGCCCAAATAATCCCCGAAATCGCAAAGGAAGCATCTCATCTCACGGTGTTCCAGCGGACTCCGAATTGGGTGATTCCTCGTCGTGATGCCCCAGTCTCGGCGTTTCAACAAGCCTTATTAACATACCTTCCACCGCTTCGCTGGCGCAAGCGAGCTTTACAAATGGATTTCAGAGAAGGATTCCATGACGCGATCTTCGACGGTGAATCAGATTTTGCTCAGGTAATCCGCGATTGGTGCAGTGGTTTGATGAAAACGCAACTAGCCGACCAGCCTGAGCTGTGGGAGACTCTGACACCGACTTATTCACCGGGATGTAAGAGAGTAATCATCACCGATGACTATTATCCAACGCTGGCTCGAGACAATGTAAATCTGGAAACTCGACCTATAACCAGAATTACGGGAAAGGGCATCGAAATCGAGGGGGGCTGGCGAGCAGGAATATGACCTTATCGTGCTTGCGACCGGATTCAAGACTGTCGACTTCATGTACCCCATCCAGGTCTATGGTTCTGGAGGTCGCACTTTAGGCGATATCTGGAACGGTGGTGCGAAGGCCTACTATGGCATGACTGTTGAAGATTTGCCCAATTTTGGCATGTTTTACGGCCCTAATACAAATCTTGGTGAGTAGACGGGTTTCTCCAATACCACATCATCTACGTTGGTGATTTCATATTACTGACAGCAAGTTCTAGGACATAACTCTATTATCTTGATGATCGAGGCTCAATCACGATATCTCAATACGATGGTTGGCGAGGTGATTCAGGCTCGGCAGCAGGGAATGACCCTGGCTTTTAAACCCAAGCCCAGTATCCTGGAAGAGTATAATGATCGCATACAAAAGTTACTAAGGGAGAGTAGCTTTGCTGATCCTAATTGCAATAGCTGGTACAAGCAAGACGATGGAAATATTACCAACAACTGGTCTGGGACCGTCGTTGATTACCAGCAAAACCTGTCCCAGGTGCAGTGGGAGGACTATATTGCCGAGGGCTCTGGAAAATACGTCGTTGTTGACAAAAAGCCTTCTCGTATTGGTCGAGTTCGTGAGGAAACGCTGTTCAGCGATACCTCTCTGCTCATTGGAGCCGCTAGTATTCTGGCAGCAGCTGGTGGGTACCTTCTGGCTCGGCCTCGACTTATGAGGGCATGATAAACTTGGTCCACATACATTGGTTCCGGAGGGATTGGATCTTGTTGAATAGATTCGTGAAATTGGTTGTTCTAGCAGTGAATATGATTTTTCTCTCTCCAATTCATAGCTCCAGGAACTTAGCGACCATGTCTGATTTTATACGCTCTTGTGCTCTTTGTATTCCAAGAATGTCTTGATAAGCTTCTTCTGCTGTAAAGGCAACGGGCCTACTTTTCCGGAGCGAATTGCGATTGAGATCTAGTGCTTCGGCCACAACTAGCAGCTCTCCGTGTTTCTGAAATAAGGCCATAGAAATGGTTGTTTCAAACCGTGTCTCAAAACCCGATCGCTGACTTGAACCTAATAAACGATTTTCTCCAGAGTTTTGATCGATGAGATAGAATCTCCAGGTCTTTGTGTCCGTGTCTCCATTCCACGACACCCACACAATCGCATCTTTTTCTCCAAACCTCAATGCTAGAACTGCAGGCTCCTCACTTGGATAAGCTGTCCAATTTGCTTTAAACCCGCGATAGCTTTGGACATTTTTGTTCGGGTATGAGTCGAGATACGCGTGGAAGAGAACAGTGCCGTCATCTGCAAACTCAGTAATTGCACCGGCGCTTCCCCAGCTAGCCAGCTTATTACCATTCGGTAGAAATCTGAAACTTCCCTGAGTATGCGCAATCAGGTTATCAGGCGCATGGTAGGTGTGTATTTCTTTCAATGTCTTCGCTGTATTGTTGAGCTCGATATATCGGCCTCTTGAACAGGGAGCTATCTCTCGCCCCGGTGTAGAATACGCTGCATTGTCGAAGAAGGATATACGCTCAATATCTCCATCCGGTGATCTGTATTGAAAACGAGCGTCGTGTTGAAAGGCAAATTCCAGGTTTGATGGAATTTCGAAAGTGGACCCCTCCATTCCACCCAGCTGCCAGATTATATCCCCATTGCTGCCGTTGATCTTGAATATGGCGTTATAGTGCCTTGCTGAAATTAGATAATCTCCTTCGGAATCTTTTTCAATGCTGTTGATGTGAAAATAGTTCCATGCGGAATCGTAAGTTCGGCCATCATGTATGCCTTTTTTATCCAATGGGGTGGCGCTGTCTATTTTCGTTAGAATTGGAGAGAAAAGGGAGCGTTTCAACTAAAGAGAGATCAACTCACAGATCGGGCTTATTCTTCCCTTTGATGACCACTCAAAAATCGGCTCACCAGTCTTCAAATCCATTTCTATAATTTCTGTCAGTCGGGGACAGCTCACCGGGAGGTAGCTCACCTTGAAAGCCGCCTTCCAGCAAGAACTTCTGGCCTTTACTTCCACCGTAGCGGCTCAGGTCAGCAACAGTCATAATAGGCGTCTCGATCAAAACAGAACTTTCGTTGACCACCTCGAATTCATGCGCCGAACTGAGCCGATGTGCCGCCGCGTGGATGACACTGATAGTCCGATATGAGTTGTCCAGGAGTGCATGATTCCCGAGCATCCGGCCAGTATTAGCATTCAAATCACCCTGGAATGCTCGTAGGGCAGGCTTTCCGTCCATCATAATGGGGCTGAAATCGGCCACCCATCCGGCCCAGTAACCTACCCCGACCAGACCAGCTCTCCATTTTCGCGAAAAAATATAGGCTCCAGGTTGGTCAGGACCGGTGCTATTGGGAATATCTCCGCGAGCTGCTGTAAAGAATAGATAACCTGCCTCGGTCTTAGGTGAAGCTGGTACTGTGATGTTCAACTTCGGTGGCGATAGGTCTGGCCTGGAGAGGAATTGCAGGCTGCCCAAGGCACAGTGAGCGATGGTACTTATTGAGGCGAGGTGCTTTAAGGCCATTGATGATTAACCTGGGGATTCCAGATTTGCTTTCACTTCTCTTGGGACAAATTCGTGGCGTTGTTCGCGGGTGAAGAGAAGAGAAACAAGACAATCTGGGGTGGGCGAGGCGGGAGGGAGCGGGACCAGCAGAGCGTTCCGACGCTGCACGATCCTATAGTTCCGGACTTCAGAGTTGCACAACAATCTGAATCTAATCCGAGGTTTATTTATCCTTTATCTAGGATCTTTGTGCACTGCATAATCTATGATGATGAACATGAGTTAGATTGGTCATATTAGTTATGGGGAAGAATGATTATTAGTGATAAGTTGATATCTGCTTCCTACCTGCCCAGGTGGAGTATGAAAGTTTTTTATTTGCTTCGCAGCGATATTCTCTGACAATACTAGTATGCCATTATGTATGCAGCTTGCTATACAAAGAAAGATACACCTGATATTGAAATTGAATATTCTTCTCGACCGGAGACATAGTATCAGTCTACTGAAAGCCTTCCCCGTGGAGGGTAATAAAATCTTGAAATGCAGTCCATCCTGGGATCTACCCAAAGTTTCAGAATCTGTCATATCATGCACATCTATTCGATAAAATCAAGACCCCCTGAAACTAATAGTCATGCGCGATATGCTTCAACGTCAATATTATGGACTGATCTCATGTCCTGGCCTGGGAGCATCGTATCTGTTTCACTGGCAAGTTGTGTGATAAGGGGCCAGTGCTGCCGATGGACTCTTTCGACTTCACGATGGAGAAGATTTATCTGGCCCTTCAGAAGGGCGATTTCAGCGTGGTGGTTGATATTCTGACGGATCTCGTGACCTTGTTTGATAAGAGAACCTTAAGTTTGGATGCCTTGGATCTGGATCATGTCCAGGATCTCGGAAGGTACCTTGGTTTCCACAGCCAGAACACAATTGTCCAGGAAGGTCAGGTCCAGCAAGAGCTTTGTTTCCAGAATGGCCAAATTAGCGAGGGGGAATAAATCCGCGTGGCTACCGCAGAAATAATCAATCGCATCAAACGGGCCGGAGCCCTTAAACCTTGAAAGCTATCATGATCTCTCGCCCCAGCCATAGTCACCAAAGATGCTCGGTTGACTACACCACTTTGTACAATTGTAGAGCTCCTGATCCTTTCTCTGTCGGAATATAAGGCGTGGTATGCGGATGCGCACGCGAAGCTCGTCGATTGATCCAGGCGAAGCATGTTCAACGCCACTTCTAACTGCCCTTCAAGTGATTCCGCGGTTGAAATTCCAGCCATAGCATCCAGTATCCTGAGCTAGTGATGCATGAGGTCCTCTCAGAGTGGTTAGAATGGCATCAAATCGTACATATGTTGTATAAGACCGGAAGTTTGAAAAAAGGTATGAAATCTCTCCTCCTGGTCTTGGACTTGAGTTCTTGCGTGTTCGACTTCTCGACATGCTTCTTCCTAGATTGAGGGTTCATTTTCTTCCATGATGGGGAGTTCTGTGTGTGATGCAGCGATGTAGAGCAGAGAAAGAAAGAAATGGGTATACCTACAACTTGAAGCAGAGAGACAGTCAAGGAAGGCACCACCAACCTCCCTCGACATACCACATTCGCTCAAGTTCCCCCTAGAGTTGGTACCTACTAACTAGTAGGTAACTATACCTAGGTATAATAGATGCTCAGGTGCCCAGGTGGGAATAGGTAGGCATATACTAGTATTAGTATTTTGAGCAGGGTACGGGGACTCCCGGAAACACCACACACGATTCTCGTCAGTTTGGTCTAAATGAAGCATCTCTAGCGCGATTTGCAGCTCCCCTTCGACAGATTCTGTGCTTGACACTTCAAGTTTGCCCATGACATCAAACAGCTCTAACTTGTAGAACATGTAGTCCTCTTGGAATGGGTAGAATGACATCAAGCCTGAGTTCACGTTGTATATATTTCAAGTTGGTGTCATGCCGCATTGCGAGAGAAAGCTTAAATAGATAAATTCCCCAATGCCTACGATGCAGAAAAATGAGGGCTATGGAAGCAGCTGATTTCCAATTCTCCCCGCATCACTCAATCTTTGGAAACTTCACCACTTTCCATTCACATCATGTGCATCATTTCAATTTTCAGTTACCGGATCTGGTATGGGGATTGGTCCACCTGGGGAGTCCGCTAGCCTCGCTGTCAGAACCTCAACGCCTGTCTCGGTTACAAGCATAGTATGTTCTGTGGTCATTGAAATTAGCATTGGAAATCTTTCTGCCGGCTTGAGGGCTCTAGACTCACCAAACTGCGCCGTCCGTTTTCCGTCCATCGTAACGTTTGTCCAGTTATCGGGCCAATCCATTTCCCGGTTTGTGCCTAGCGTAAGAATAGGCTCAATGGTGAAGGTCATCCCAGGCTTGCATGTCCCAACAGCTTTGTTTTTCGCATAGTGTGGGATCCAGGGAGGAGGGTGGAACTCTGAGTTGATGCCGTGACCACCCCAAGTCTTGACAACGGCGAGACCCCTGGAATTCGCGTGCTTTTCAATGATTTTTCCAAACTCCCGAATGGGTGTTCCGGGCTTGATGATGGCAATAGCCATGTCCAAGGCTTCTCGCGTCGTTTCGATGAGTCTAATCGCATCTGAGTCTGCCCTGGCCTTGTCGCCGACGTAGTAAGTTTCGTTCAAATCGGCATGGTATCCGCCGTGGTAGATGGATATATCCAGATTGAGGATATCGCCATCAAGAAGAACTCTTTGGTTGGGGATGCCATGGCATACGATCTCATTCGGGGATGTACACAATGACTTTGGGAAGTGATGGTAGTTGAGTGGGGAAGGGTATGACTATGCCGCGCGTCAGTAACGAAGACTCACATAGTAATTGGGTAGAAATGCTCACCTCTCGTTCAACACAAGCATTGTGACAGACTTCGTCCAGATAGTCGGTGGTCACGCCGGGTTTCATGGCTGCGGCGGTGATGTCCAGGACCTCGCGAGCCAACTTGCACACCTTGCGCATGGCTGCTTGACCTTCAGCATCCAAGAAATCCCATTTCGACTTGCTCAGCCGGAGTTCTCGCTTGGGGATTCCGGTCTCAGCCCAGTCAGGGTGCTTAATTGACTTGGGAACAGGGCGTCGTGGAGACAGTGGGTATACAGGTCGGACACTTCCACTGAATGGGTATGTGGGAAAGGGGTTGTAAAGCCCACCGGCTATCAAGTAATCAGTGAAAAGTTCCAAGTAGATAATGTGTTGAATATTTACCATTTTGTGTCTTGTGGATCGCCTTATGAGTAGCCTAGATACGGTCAATGCCAAATTCTCTATTCAAAGCGTTATGTATGAATGTATAACTTACCCAGTTCCTTTTGAAACAATCTTGAGCACAAAAGTAGCTGTCTTTTATGTCTAGCTTCAGACACGTCGGACATTGCAACGTCCCAGCTTTGTTGTCGCAATCATCCCGGAGCACTTTTTCTCCGGATTGGACATGGAGGCAGTTTTGCATAAATTTTGCTGCTGCAATTCAAAAAAAAGGGACCGAGGGTCTTTTTTATAGTCAGCAGAACTTGAAATTAACCACAAGCAAGTGGAATGAAAACGAAGCAGGCAATGGAAGTTAGATAAGTCGGTGGTGCAATCAAAGCTCAAGATCTTCGCCATGGTCACGTGGTGGCCCCGCTGATTGCCAAGACTAGTCTTGTATACCAGAAGTAGTACTAACTACTAGCTAGTACTACCTAGATATCATGTTTTGATTATTTCCTCCGCCTGGAAATTCAAGGGACACTGTCCAGTCTTGAGTCTGCCGATTTGGATTTCTTTCCACTGGCACTTTTCGTGCAAATTCTACTACTAGTAGTACTGTAACGATAGGTAGTTGACTTAGTAGTTATCCTGTCTAGTTTGTATACAGAGTACTAGTCACTAGTCAGTAGTTAAATACCACTAAGTAAAACTATACGTTGGTCGATAATTAACTCTCACCTGATGAGTATTACGCACAGCTTGAATTGAGTCTGAGGTAGTAGTATTTCCAAGTTTCAAGTTCAAGTTACAACAGGGGCCTCGGAGTACTTGAGGGTACTATTTCCTGTCTTGGCTTATCACCACATGTACCATCACTGCAAGGGCCCGTCCGTCCAAACCCAGAGTCTCCCTAGGGACTCCATCGCGGCGGGCCATTTATGTCCCAGCCACCTCACTACCTCGTACTAATCCACCAAATCGGCTCAAGTATCCAGATATTGTCAAATGGACCCGCCCTGTCATCTCCGGCAATGGAGGGATGTGTGGAATGGTGCAGGCCCGCCCCAACGCGTCCTTCAAAGGTATTGAGACTCAAGACGACGCGGACCAATATGATCGAATCCCCCCTCTACCCCCTGAGAAATTCACCCTGGCAGTGACAGTGTCCATTCGCAATTTAAATTGACGCACCTCGAAGAGTGTCGATGCAACGTGAAGGAACGCGGGGGTGATCGACAGGGGCGTGCATGCCGGGGGAGGTGGGAAGGTGTGGACCAGGCAGCACAGGGGACTAAAAGGACTAAAGGGACTAAAGGGCGAGTCGACTTGAGTTGAAATACCAACCCAATCCCAATCCCTCGTGCTGTGAATATTAGACCGGTTCCACACCTTCAGGACCATGTTGTTGCCGCGATTGATTTTGTCGCTCCCTCTGATCAGCAGTCGCGTGCGGGCCAACGCTGTCTCGGTAAACACGCCTGAAGACTACGATGTACTGCAGTACATTAATCCACTGATCGGCAGCGCCAACGGAGGTAAGCACCATAATTTCCCGATTACCCATATCGAGTGCGACGTCTAATCCAGAAGAATAGGAAATGTCTTCGCGGGTGCCACACTGCCCTATGGCATGGCCAAGGCCGTTGCTGATACCGACTCGGAATCAAACCAGGGCGGCTTCGCCTACGAGGACAGCAATATCACTGGCTTTTCGAGCATGCATGACTCCGGTACTGGTGGCAGCCCCTCTCTCGGCAACTTTCCTCTCTTTCCTTACGCAAAATGCAACGGCGACGATCCAAACGGCTGTGTCTTTCCGAAGAAGGCTAGAAAGACTCCATACAAACATGATTCGGTCAAGTCAAGCCCTGGCTATTTCGGCATCGAGCTAGCTTCCGGTGTCCGCGCGGAGATGACTGCTGCTCATCATACTTCACTCTTTCGCTTTCATTTCCCACCCAACCCCGATAACAGCCCGCTGCTTCTATTGGATCTTTCAGATCTGTCAGATACGCGACAAGACAATGCGACTATCTCAATCGACAAGTCGAGCGGGCGAATGACAGGGAGTGCCAAATTTCTTCCAAGCTTTGGCAGTGGATCTTATAATCTGCACTTTTGTGCGGATTTCCAGAGTTCCGGCTGGTTGCGCGATAGTGGCATCTTTGTCAATACTCGCGCTAGCAATGATGTTCATGATCTCACAATCTCGCGCAGTATCAATGGATACCCTCTCCCGGTAGGAATCTCTCTTATAAATTATTTCTTGTCTTCAAACCAGCGCTAATTGAACAGGGTGGTGGATTTATTCGCTTCCAAAACCCGCCCGATGGAATCGTCAATGTTCGCGTCGGTGTTAGCTTCATGAGCTCTGAACAGGCCTGCTCACACGCAGAGTCGGAGATTCCAAACTTTAACTTCCAAACCACAAAGCAAGCTGCCATTACCCAATGGGAGGAGAAAATGAAGCCTATTCGTGTCTCGCGAGAAGGTGTCAAATCGGATGTTCTCACCAACTTCTACAGTGGAATTTACCGTACGATGGTAAACCCCCAGAACTATACCGGCGAGAACCCTCTATGGACAAGTTCGGAGCCGTACTTTGATTCTTTTTACTGGTTTGTCTCTTCACCCTCGCTGCAATTTACTTACTGATTATGCAAAGTCTTTGGGATTCTTTCCGATCGCAGATTCCATTTCTCACAATCTTCGATCCGAATTCGGTCACTCAAATGGTGCGTTCATTGATTGATACACAGCGCCACCTCGGATGGCTCCCGGACTGCCGGATGTCCCTTTGCAAAGGTTTGTACTCCACCGAAAATGAAGACGTCCGTATATTAATTATTTCGGCAGGTTTCACACAAGGTGGATCCAACGCCGATAATATCCTCGTCGATGCCTATGTCAAGGGACTGGACGACGAAATTGATTGGCAAGCCGGATATGCTGCTGTCCAAAAGGATGCCGAGGTTGAGCCATTCGATTGGTCCAATGAAGGTCGCGGAGGCTTAAAAAGCTGGAAGGAGGTCAATTACATCCCCGTGGAGGATTTCGACCATGAGGGTTTCGGCACCATGACACGAAGTATTTCCCGCACACTGGAGTACTCTTACAACGATTTCGCCATCGCCCAAATGGCCCGATCTATGAACAAAACGGAAGATGCCACGCGTTATGAGAATAACTCTCGATTCTGGAAAAACCTTTTCAAAGATGACCAGGCCTCATATTTGAACGGTACCGATACAGGATTCACCGGATTCTTCCAGCCGAAGTACCACAACGGTACCTGGGGGTATCAAGACCCACTCAGTTGTTCAAATATCGATAACACTGGAAGTATTTGCTCCCTTCAGAACACCGCTGGAGAAACATTTGAATCGAGCATTTGGGAATATCAATTGTACGTCGTCGTTACTATTTTGCCTCAGGCTAGATCTTTCTGATTTTTTTTTCCAGCTTCGTTCCCCATGATATGAAGACGCTTATCAAGATGCTTGGCGGCGAAGACAACTTTGTCCGGCGTCTGGATTACCTACACGATCGAAATATCACTTACATCGGCAACGAGCCTGCTTTCCTTACAGTCTTCCAGTATCATTATGCCGGCCGCCCAGCCAAATCAACCGCACGCGTCCGTACCTACATCCCAAACTACTTCTCTCCGACGCCAGCGGGACTTCCAGGCAACGATGACTCCGGTGCCATGGGCTCTTTCGTCGCGATGTCTATGATGGGACTCTTCCCAAACCCCGGCCAGAGTGTTTATCTGATCACGGTTCCCTTCTTCAATTCAGTCAAAATAAAATCGCCTCTTACGGGGAAGACGGCTACCGTGCAGGTCACGAATTGGGATCAATTTAACTCACTCAACAATACTGGGGGAACAGGCTTCATTCAGTCGGCCTACCTCAACGGCAAACCTTATACGCGCAGCTGGCTTGACCATGATTTCTTCACAGAGGGCAAAGACTTGGTTCTTACTTTGAGTGGACAGGAGAGCACATGGGGAACGGCCCCCGAAGACCGGCCTCCGTCTCTAGAAGAGTCTGCGTCTGAAGTCCAAGAGCGCAGATGGAAGGCATCAGATGAAGAAGCCACCGATTCTGTGCCGCTACTAGGCTCGTCTAGAAAGCATTACGCTAGACACAATTTGCATTTTGAACATCATGCTCGATTTGCAAAGGACTGGTAGTCACTAGCAAGACTTGTACATTGATACTCATTCATAGCTACCTAATCCATTCTCATCATTCTATCTATCTCCTTGTTTCACGGGAAAGTTCCCAGCCAATAGCGAAGCTCTTCAATCCTACCAACCAAACCAATTCCCTTGCCTAGGCTTCGGCTCGGATTCCGCGTATCTCTTATATTCAGCCCACCAATAATCTAGCCCGCGCTCGTGAATCCGAGTAGGATTCCACATCCGAACAGGATTCTGATCGCGATGCTTGGGGAGGTGGGGGGGGACGACGTTGGAGGCGATACCAGAACACGCCGAATATTTGGATTTCTGGCGACTCCCACGGACGAGGTAACTAGAAGTGACGAGAAAAAGAATTAGGTCCCCGTCCAGATATTGAGCCTTGCGTGCCGTAGACAAATTATATGAGATACTTACCTGGACCTCGCTCATCAACAATGGCATCATGCTCCCGCAGTAGCTGAACCAGCTCAAGACTGCCGATTTCGGCTGCCATGTACAGCGCCGTGTAACCTGTGCTGTTACTTGCTGAAACGTCTTCGCCTTCGTTGATAAGAAACGTCGCGACTTCCATGTGCCCATCCTGGCACGCTTGCATCAGAGGGGTGGTGCCTTGCCAATTCGGCTTGTTCATATTGTGGTGACAAGATATCAGCTCCTTGAGGACGTCTAGGTGCCCATTTGCTGCTGCGATGAATAGCGCGCTCGCTGCCTTTTCTCTGCTGGAATTCATTTTGGATGTTAATGGGAATGATTCTTGAGAGGTGGAAGTTGTAGATTTCAAGCTTTCGTTCGAGAAAGGGGCTCTGGTAGTGTAGATCTTTTATTTCATGGTCTCTTTCATCCATTCCCCGCCTGGGATCTTAGATTTGAAAGGGAGGCTTCATGCAGATCTGATTTGCATTGACCTTTTCAATCTTCTCGCAATTTCTGTATCTTGTGGCATGTAGTGGTTCTTCTGTATTATTGCGGGGATACTGGTAGTACTCATAGTAAATACAATGGGACTAAAAGTGATAGGCGACAAGTGACAATTTTTATACGCTCTGGCTGAAACTTATTATGAACCGCCCCAGTTAGCTCACCGCGCAATTGACCTGAACCCTTTTTGAAAGAAAGCTTAGAATACTGGAGGTCTGGACGCTTGAAGTTTGTCCGATTGGGTCCTTCAAAGACCGGAGTGATTCAAATACAAAGCCACTACCGAAACAATCATTGAGTATCGAGTATCCAAGTTGGATGAATCTGTCATTACCCGGTGTAATACGATCTTTAAGGCAAGATTACTGCTGCCTAGCTTCCCGGAAAGAAATATGCGTCTCGCTGTGGTTTCAATGTATGCTTTGAGACCAAGGGAAAAGATCGATGATTTGGCGGCCACTGATCAGGTCACAGTTTGTAATGCCTCATCAAAAGCAGTTTTGCAGCGGAAATGACGTGGATCTAAATGTTCAAGTTGGAAAAAAAAGAACGGATAGCGAAAATTGAACGAACAGAGCGAGTTTGAGTTACGGCGTGGACTTGGCTAACACTCTATCCCCGACGAGGACGGGACTGAAGCCTTGAAAATTCATTCTCGGACAGCTTAACAGTGACTTTGCTTCAATATAGATGAACATTTTCAAATAAAATGATAAGCAAATACAGGCTCAAGACAAAAATCTCCATAGTTTTGTATTCGTAAACAGCATTCATCGTCTCATAATGACCGCTCGTCAAAATTCAAGTACGTCAATAAAGCATGGCGAAATAGCCACAATCAATGGTGATGCTTGTGTCCATGTCGGTGGTGATGGCCACTTGGAGAATGTGAATGTTTGCTATCGTGAGAATCACGAGCCCTTGATATTTCGTTGGCAGCTATTGCCCCCAAAGCTCCGGCGCCTACTGTACGAGCAATATGCCCGAATCCCTGGCTAACATCTTCACCTTCTTTTTTGCGATGATGGTGAACGGCCTCCGCGACTCCAGCAGCTGCTATGGCTCCTTCAATCAAGTGGCGGTCATGATGCGAATCGTGGTGTTTTGAACGGTCGTCATTCCGGTGGTGGTAAGCGTGCTTTGTATGGCGTCCAGAGTGATGGCCATGCCCACTATGGTGACTATTGTGATGATGGCCAGTGTTATGATGAGCACCGTGGCTCCTAGCTATCTCGCCTCCCGAGCTCGGCACATATTGGTCCGAATAATAGTCTCGTCGATAATCGGAGTACATTGTTATGAAGTGCCAGTGGTGGGCGCTGAAGAGGTGTCTCGGCAAAGGCAACGAAAAATGTCTTACTGCCAAATTTTGAATTTTCTGGCCGTCGTCGATCCTTTAAATACATACTGAGCCCGAAAAATCCCAGCCTCTTTTGTGGGAATTTCGTTACCTATCCATGATATCATTCTCCACCTGACTAGTTTACTAGTGGAACCTTGAGGTTGAACTTCACTTTCCGAATTATCATGACTTCACTTCTAATATTTTGTATTCGACTAGAGCTCAAGTTCTAAAGAGTCGGTTCATTCAGGACCTCGGAATGAACCAAACTTTTTTCATCTTTTTCCATGTGGGAATAAAGAAATTTCTGGATGAAGCAGAGTCAACGGGGTATACTAGACCAATGTATAGATCGACGAACTGCACGTGATTTATACAGAGTCTAAGGGAAGATAGAATATCCGGCCCGATCAGTTGTCTGACAACCTTGGCATGAGTAATCGGCTATCACATGATAGGAAGATACGAGAGGTTAGTCAACTGGCTATACTAGTATACAGTCACCTGCGTAGCAATAGATAAGGATTAAGAGTTAAAATTCAATACAGAACGGAAGGCATTATATATAGGAGACATATTATAGAATGGAAGCTGGGCACAAAAGTGGCGATCAGATGGAAAAAAGCAGGCTACCTAGGTAGGGATGAAGCTATTTAGCGGAATTGGATGCCTAAGGCGTCGGCCCTTAACAGTATAACTAACTACATAGTATGAGGGAGCGGTGGATTATTACTAGGCATTGTGGTCATTCAAATTTCAACCTCAGAAATGTCTCAACAACCCCACTTTCATCTCCCATCCACTGACATATGTGAGCAAAGAAGTACTCCTCTCCCCTTAGTAGCAACTACCTGCCTATTCAAAGCCGATTCAATTGACATGGATATTCACAAGAGATGCCCCTTTATCTCTAGTTAAAGCGATACCTCTTGAAATGGATATTTTCCCACTTACACAGCATTTGTTCTCAGTACCTCCCTGGACAACGCAGAGCAAAGGGTGGTTAAATGATGTTTAGTACTAAGTTTAGGTTATATTCACGGCGGTTGGCGCTGGACTTACTCCGCTGGACAAACTTCCCCGGGCGCTCTCTGGATAACAATATGTGCATCAGCTAGCTTTTTCAACGGGAATTTTCTGGGTAGGATACAAAATCTCTTCAGGGAAGACCTGGAAATAATGTTAAAGAGATATTTGAGGCTTGACGGTATACGTACTACGCAGTCCTCCTATTCGATAATTAGCCTGAAGATCTTTAGAGTAGATAATTACAGACTATACCCTTGCTTCCAGTACTTGAGGCATGGCGTGAGCCATGATGGCAAGAAAGAGTGTCATACCCCAGAATTGCATGATGAATTATATTGATAAAAGTTAGAGAGGTAAGTTCCAGTTAAAGACTTGCTTCTACTGTAAAGGAAACTTGAAACGGTGCAGTAGAGGCTTCATTAAAGATTTTCTGGTGATTCAAAGCACACGGTTTGAGAAAACCGTGGCATGTTTATACTTTCTGTCCACTGAAGTCTGATTGCCTGACCAGTCTCAAGTTTAGATGGCCAGGATCTGGTTGTATCACAAGCCCAGATATGAGACTAACTCACTCAGACAGTTTAGTATCTTTGTAGAACCTTTATTATAAAGTAGTTGGCTGATGGCTTCGGAATGCTCATTTTTGTGAAGTATCTTTATGGCTTCTGACTCCTTCGAGTTGTTACCCTATAGTTGAAGTGAAACCAAAAATCTCGACCCTGGGCCCTAGACGCTGTCTCACTAGTGGCGATTTCATGACATGGTGTCCAGCTCTAAGCTCCGCAATTCATAATAGAAGTGGAGTATATACCAACTATAGTGCAAGTAATCAGTCAAATCCCAGCAATAGATCTAGACTAATGGAAACACAATACCGGACAATATGAAAATGTACGACCTGTTGATGACTTGCGTGTCCGCGGTGATGTCTCAATCGAGGAAGTGAAGACACCTAACTTGCAAGATGACATTTCTTCAAGATAGAAGGGATTGCACCAGTATCAAAGATCTCTCAATGACTATGATTGAATATAATGTCTTCTGAGAAGTATCTTGATTAGTTACCAAGAGTGTAGTTATCCGGGGGTCGCTATCAAAGTAGCGGTATATTGCTCCTTCCTGGTATTTCACTGATACTATAACCTTAGAAGGAACATCTCAGCTTCAAGTTAGCAGAGAACTCCAACAACCAAGAGTAAGTGGAAAATAAATGCAATGCCAGCAGCCTGCATCGAACAATTTACGAGTGATGACCTAAGATAGTACTCTCATGTGATGGCTGCATTTCCAAACCTTGGAAGTGAATCGGAAATTATTAATTTTCCATTTGCATGACCTTAAATTAGGCCCATTGCGTCGTATAAGACCTACAGCTTACCACAGACTCACTAGTAGATCCATGTTTCTCCTTCATTATTAAGGGATATGAGGGTCTTTACAATCTACTAGCTAACTAATAATATATAACGTGTACATTCTCACGCGACTTCTCACGCAAATTCGCAGAAATCGATCAAAATTGAAGAGCAAGGACTTCAAAACGGAGTTTTCCCACTTTATTATTGTGGAGCAGCGCTTCGGTCTACTACTGTATGAGAAATTGCAAACCTTCTTCTCAAACGTCATAGAACTATCCTGGTTCGGCGAAGAGTGAGTTTGAAACATACTAGTACGCCCTGAGCTAACAAATCGGGTTTTGAGATGCTATAATTATTACAAGGAGCGTATGAAGTTTGAAAACTCATAAATTGTTGATCAATAGTTTTATCTTGTGTAAAAAGCTATTCTTTAATAGGGAATTAATCCTGATGATATTTACATCTTCGATAAAGCTAGTTTTCTGATAGGCTGACGAGATACTGTAAATGTTGCAAGGTTGTTATAGTGTCTGAATAATACAGTTAGAGGTTGCTTTCACAATGTATTTCTCCAGAACAGGGAATGTTCCTTCAGGGCTGATGAAGGGCAAGTCAAGTTCAAGTTCCCGATCTGTTCATGAAAAGGGGCCGCGTAGGGACTTGCACCCCCCTTCGCCGAGATCGTCCCCGCCGTTGAAGGTATAGGTTCTGCGTCTGGGGTTTCTTATTTAACACGCTTCTTGGGCTCCAACTTAGAATGAGTATTCTGATGACTGTTTCTGTCCCACAATCTGGAATTCTCTCGATCAGTCCCTCGAGGCAATGGAAGAACTGATCTACGTATTGAGGATCGATAGCTTCCAACTGTACGATCAGATAAACCACTTTGAAAGAACGAAGCAACCCCGCGAGTACATCCAGATAGTGGCTCTCAAGACGTGCATGATTAAACTGATCAAGAAGGTTTAATATATCATTCTTAGCACCATTCTCGTCGATGAATGTAGCAGCCTGGTAAATCAGGCTCTTCAGCGTAGCAATCACCGGATTAGGATCTTGTCGAGGAGTCAGGACCCAGATATTCGCTATGTTAGCACCGAGGAGCTGCTCAATTATATTTATGCAGAAGTCCTGAGCCACTTGCCTATCTGTACATGGTACTTTCAAGGGAAGTAGAGCAGAAGAGGAAGATTGATTCCAGGAATGCAACCAGGGGCTTTTCCAGAAGGAGACTGTTTTTCTTTGCGTAAAGCGGCGTGAGTTTCGAAGGTGAATTGACATTTGTAGATCCGCTTGGTGGTTAATCAAACATTGGGCTGATATCACTTGCAAAGCTTGTGTCGATTGAATGCGAAAGACAGAGCGGGATATTTCCTGCTGCTCCGCGTGCATAATAGCGACAAGATCATACAAGTCTTGTAGCTTCGGCAGAACCTTTGCTTCATCTGTGGAGCTCGATGTCTGGTTGGCTTCAATCAATTTCCGAGTAGCGAAAACTTCATGATGTATATCGCGTTGTTCGGCCTGGCTGCTTGTTGTTGCATGGGCAGCGATTGAGGCAGCGGTTCGATTTATGTCGTTGATTATGTCGCTGTATCGTAGAGGAACAGGCCTGGTCACTGAATGGATTAATCTTTTCAATGACCCCTCTTCGCACCATTCCAAGGCACGTAGCAGAAACCGAATAATATGCGTATATAAATTGGCAAATGTTGAGATTATTGATGCGGTCGGGTATAGTGATGCGGCAAGTTCTGCACAAGAAAGGGCATCTGCGACGTCTATCAGGCCGTTTGTAATTGCAAGTCCGATATTCTTGTGCTCCACGACAGCCTAGATGTCAATCCCGAGGTCTCAATTAGCATAAGACCACAAATAACCCGATTCTTCGGCCCTCACTCACCCCGAACAAAAGTTTCATAGCGCCCCATGCCAAGGAGACATACTCCGGATGATGTGATACAAGAACATCCATGATCTTGCCATAATGGTGGACCCTCTCCGAGAACTGCGTTATGCGACGCCCTAATGCTGACTCGGATTGCCTCTGATGGTAATATTCCTGGGCATCTTGTACGGCGCTTAGTAGGTCGTTCGCGGTCGTCGCCTGGAGGACTTGAAGACGGGCTTTCTTTTTCGGATCTTTGGTTCCTTGCACTTCAAATTGAGATTTAACGTATTGAAACACCGCCTCAACGTTCTTAAAACTTCTGTATGGGAGTTCATTAGTTAATATTCATCGCGTCCTCTAAGTCGACAAAACGCTTTCTTCTCACCGATCTTCGTTATACAAATGGCTAAGTGCTGTAGTTGGCAAATCGCTTGACATGACTGCTTTCAAAACAACAACCCGTTTCTTATCGCGACCGATGCGAGTTCATGCTCGCTGAGGACGGTCTGGAACAGCGAAATCGATCGTGTGAACACCCGAAAACTGACGGTGAGAGATCGAGGCGAACTTGAAGCCAGCAGCTCAGCCCCCTGATCACCTGACAATGGTTGGGCACTGGTGCGAATGCAAAAAGCAACTTCTGCGCATTTCAAGCTGACTAGGCCGACCTCACTTTTCCAACCTTCATTATCAAGACGCCAATTTTGTGCTGATCTATTCGATCAAATGAAATGCCCCCGTCAAATCGAATGCCCCCTCCTCCCCCTCCACTTAGCGCAGAAAGTAATGAATTGCTTGAGCGGCGGTCCTCCGAGAACAAGGCGGTCCCGGACCACCTTCTTCCCGGTTCTATAGAATATGAGACCAGTGATCAAAATGAAGCAGACACGCCGCCATACAACAATATAACGATATCGGATGATCACAGTGAAGGTAGCGCTATCAAGAAGAGAAAATTGATTGCCGTTGCCTCAGAAAAAGGCGAAATGAGCATGAGTCGGATCAGGGTGAGTAGGATAGTCTGGCATTGGGATTGCTGGTCTTATGGCCGTGTCCTGCTCGGTAAGCCCACGTGTATTGACCAGAAAACTAATTCATACCTAGAATCTCCCTTTCCCTAACTCGGTTGATGATGATATTTTCGCATCATCATCAAACCCGCAAGAACCCAGTAAGCTTTGCCTTTCTCGCCCATTCCTGATGCTCAATATCATAAAGCATAGACATTTTCTGAGCCATTACAGCAACTATCCCAATAGTGGAGGGGGGCCTGCAACAGCAACAGCAACAGCAACAGCAACAGCATGCAGTAGAACAAGCCAAGCAATTCCAAGTCAATCAGTCCCAACAAGCCCAAACCTCCAAGTCGCAGCAATATGAGGGCAGAGCTCATAGGTTGCCAGATGGTGACCACGTGGTGGATCACCAACAAAATGTTTCGCCACAACCGTATGATCAGCTGCTACAACTCCCTCAGTCCTATAACCCCAACTTCACGATGTCTTCCTATGATGACACATATGGATCCGGCTTTAAACCCGCAAAAATGTCTCACGGGAGTCCAAGCCTCTCGGGGCCCAAAGTTGCTGAGAATTCCCAAGTAGACATTGTAAATACCGGTGAAATTACAAATACTTCTGATGAACTTTCAAGACTGCGTGCCCATGTCGCTGATCTTGAATCAAAGCTTCAGGGCTCAAGTTCGGTCAATCCCAGATCAGGCCCCTTTAGATACCAGGTTCTTTATCGCCTTCAAAGCGACGAGGAAGTTGACTGGTCTTCTGAGGAGAACTTCTTCGAGGATGAACCCGAGATCTCTTATAGCCAACAGGGTGAAGCTCATTTACGCTGCAGGATGCCAGTCAAAAATTTGGAAACTCACCTCATGAAGAACCAAGACATTTCCTTCGTGGTATACCGTCAGTATCCAAGAAAATTACCGCCTCACTCGACAAAAAGGCGCCATCTCCCCGACTCTAGCCAGTCAACACATCTTCCAAGTCCAGTTTCTGAAACAATTTATCCAGTGCATGAGAACTTGAAGGGTGTCCTGAAGACTCTCCTCGGTAGAAAGCCAGAGTTCAAAGAAGATCTTGATGACTATCAAGACAGCGATGAACTTGCTGCACCATATCTTTTTATTTATCATAGCCGTGATGACATGAAAAATATGCGGGCCATGCTTTCTACAAAAGCTCGAGATCAACTCGACCTTTTTCTCCAGTACGTGGACCATGCTTTCGGAGACGAGTATCGCTTAGCAGATGATCTCTTATCTAAGGGTCAAATTCTACCCGAATGCGTCAAATACCTTGTCAAACCAGGAGACATACTTGTCCGGAAGACCCAAGATGAGTACACCGGTTTCATAACCCAAAGCTGGTTAGTTGCAAGGCTCAATGGGAAAGCCCCAATGCCAACCTTCAACTTGGGGGACCTCGAAGTCAAACCGGCCATTGTTGACCTCGCGCATAATACCGGGTCACCACAGCACCGCACCAAATATAGTTGGACGTGCTCTGGAGAAACTTTACAATTTGACGGAACATTTTTCTGGAAATCAGAACGTTTGACGATTGAAATTCTACGCGAACCGCAAGTGAGCTCTCTACAAATCAATCTGCATGACGTAAAATCCATCACCGAATTGGACGTCTTCCCTCTAAGATTTGCCCCGGAGGCGATTATCAAAAGGCTTGAACGGCGAGCTTCGACATATCTCAAGTGTCGTACAAAGGGTCTGGTATGCTATCAGCCTGATGATAGCGATCGGTTTCGAGAGGTGGTAAGTAAGCCCCGACCAGATCCATTTATTTGAAAGATTGAAAGAAAGCTAATTGTGTCAGTCGGATGATCGATACATGATTGACATGCGTACATTTCGTACTCTTCACCCCAATAATGCTGGTTTACGTAGCACCGTCGACAATGATCTGGGCTTGGATGTGATGGATAATGACGATCGATTCAAATATCTCATGCCACCTATCATCAAAGGATATAACCTCAGACAAAAGGCTTGGCATGATCTTGCTGTCGATCGCATTTTTGACGTCAAGTGGAATCGGGAAGCATTCCATAGTCTGGTTATCGAGCCCAAGGCAAAAAGCCTCATCGAAGCATTAGTGGTCAGCCAGCTTGAATCGGAAAAATCGACAGACCTAATCAGCGGCAAGGGAAATGGTCTTATTCTCTTATTTCACGGCGGACCTGGAACTGGCAAGACTCTGACAGCTGAAGGGGTTGCGGAAATTGCCAAGAAACCTCTTTATCGAGTAACGTGTGGAGATGTGGGTACCAAGGCCGAGGATGTGGAGAAATACCTCAAGTCCGTCCTTCATCTGGGACGTATCTGGGACTGTGTGGTGCTCCTAGACGAGGCAGATGTCTTCCTCGAACAACGAAGTCTAGAAGACCTGCAGCGCAATGCACTCGTCTCCGTTTTCCTTCGGGTTCTTGAATATTATGAAGGAATTCTCATATTGACAAGTAATCGAGTCGGAACCTTCGATGAGGCTTTCATATCCCGCATCCAACTTGCGCTTCATTACCCGGAACTTAAAACACATCAACGACTCAAGATCTGGGAACTTTTCATCGATCGGCTTGACGAGCTCTTCGGGGATCGGACAGAAGAAATGGAGGAGAAGATTGATGTGGTCAATCTTCGAGAGAATCTGGGTGTCCTCAAGCATGAAGAGCTGAATGGCCGACAGATCAGGAATGTGATTACTACTGCGCGCCAGTATGCCAAATGGCAGAACAGGGAGCTCACTTATGAACATCTCAAGGATGTGATTGAAATTTCTGGGCGTTTCGGTACTTATTTGCATAAACTCAAGGGCTATTCTGCAGATGAACTTGCGAAGGATGGAGGAGTACGATAGATGCAATACGAAGGACGGATAATGTATTTCAAGTTGAATCACAGCCAACTACATCCGTGGTGATATTGCAGCATAATATCTATGCTAAACAAAATTCAGATTTCGTGCCCAGGTGATCAACGAAAAAAAGAGCTCCTTCTCCGCGGAGATATTTTCTGAATAGTTGAAGCACGCCCGGGCGTTTGATTAAAATCACGCATAGAAAACTACGATAGCCTAACTAAACCAGCCTAGCTATGGCCAAGAATCGGGATACCAGGAAATTTTTCTGTGATAGGGTGATCAGGTGATTGGGCTAGATTAGAGCGGTGGCCAAGTCCAGGCCAACTTTAGGCCAGCTTTAGGGGCTGTGCCTGTAGCTAGCATTAGCTTCCCTCGGCTTTGCTGTGCCGAGTTGTTATTTTCGGTCTCCCCATGGCCAGCAAAAGGAACAGAAAATTAGCAGAAGATCTAACCAGAAGGATATTAGGGAAATGAACAGGATCAAGATAAAAGACTCCTCAATCACCAGGAAATTCAAATATCATCAACATCAATTCATTTCAATTTACTTCCTCCCTCTATTACCAGCACCAATTCTGGTCTACTCCACTCACAAACCAAACCAACCCAAACCCCCACTCTCAAATCTACAATGGTCGCTTTCCCTCACGTCGGCGCTGGTCCCTACGGCACCAGCAGCAGATCACCCTACTCCAGCACAACCGAGACTCCCAAGCTCGATGCTGCGGAAATCGAAGATATTTTCCAATCCATGAAGAACTCCCAAGAGCAAGTTGCAGTTGCACCAAGCTCCTCTAGCCGCTTCAGATGGTTCTCGCGACAGTAAGATCAATCTTTTATGCTTGGTTTTGATACCCGCTAACTAAAATGCCTAGCTCCACTAAGAAAATCAACCGTCGCGGCAAGTCCGAGTCTAAGTAGGGGTTGTTCCAAGGTTGGCGTGGCCACATCCACGGGACATTTATTTTTAATATTTTACGACTAATTGGGATGGATATGTATATAAAATTATAATTGCAAAAGATATTTGATATTCTAATAGACTTCTTGAATTTGAATTCCGAGGTCCGGGTTGAAATAGCCTCCAGGGCTTTTGTCATGATAAGCCACAAACCGGTACCAGCGGGAAACTTACTTTATCAAATGAGCCTCAAGGTCGCATCTGTTCTGTTTTATGCATTCCAGGTTTGTATAATGAATAAGTCTTTGCATATTTCTCACCGGTGTGTCTTCTTGGCGGTTGCCTGGGATGGTTCAATTTAATAGACGTGTAATCAAAAATACCCAGGTATGCATGGATATGCCGGTGATCTATGCTCGTGCAGCCTGAGTACTACTAACAACTACTAGTAGCTTCTATCGATAACCGGTAGAACTGATTATGCAAGCCCTAGAGTACAGCTTAAACTCCTCTTGTAATCATTCAGGGAGTTCAGCTAAATAAAACTTGAATCTTAATGGTGGCAACCTTCCTCCGTACTTCTACCGGGCTGAGTCCGAGTCCGAGTCCGTTCCGCCGGGCTCCTATGGAGATGCCGAGGTAAACTCTGGTGGTCCACTCTTTCCCTTCTCAACCTTTGCCTCTCAACAACTTACCAGTGAGGGTCTTCCAAATCTAAGATCGTTCTGGAACAATGCCGCATCCACCTTCTTCACTCTTTTCTTCCTACCTCCTCCCGCGATCCAAGCCTTTCACTTCCTCGCGCCTCCTAACTCAACGTCTCCCGGGAACATCTCCGCGACGCCTCGGACAACCGTTTACTCGACGGACCTACTCTACAGGTAAGATGAGGCATATCTGGTTTCTATATCGCATCCTCAAGGGTCCAAGGGTCCCTCTCAATTGATCCACCGATCTCCACCGATAACAGCCTCACTGATGCATTGTCAATCGCAGAACCAACCGCCCCCGTTCACCCATCACCACCACCTCCTCCCCCTCCTCCCCGATCGCGCCTCCGCCGAATTGCAGGCTTCACGACCATCGCCATCCTAGCCTTCACTGCAGGCCTAACTTACCAAACAAGCAAAACAATCTCGCACCTCATGGCCGCACCACCCGCGACCGCCGACGGTCTCCCCGTCTATACGCCAGTAGACGACGTCGCCTTCGAGATCAACGAGAAAATCCGCACACACCCCGAAGCCGAGCGCCTACGCGCCAATCCAGACTTCAAAGAAGCTCGCCCCCATCTGAACATCCCCGAGCCCATGCGCGAGCGCATGCTCACAGCAGGCGCCCTCTCCGGACCGAACAAGATCGTCGTGCCACCCTACGTCTTCAGTGAACGCGGCGGCAAGAGCATGGTCAGCCTGATGTATCTTGGATCTGACGTGTGCGGACACCAGGGTATTGTTCACGGTGGACTATTGGCTACATTGCTAGATGAGGGCTTTGCGCGCTGCTGCTTTCCCGCAATGCCGAACAAGGTTGGCGTGACGGCGAGTCTGAATATCGACTACCGGGCGCCCGCGCTAGCAAATAATTACTTTGCGCTCAGAGCGGAGACGGTTCGTCAGGAGGGGAGAAAGGCGTGGGTTGAGGGCCGCATTGAGACTCTTCCTGAAGATGGGAGTGAGCCTATTGTGCTGGTTGAGGCGAAGGCGTTGTTCATTGAGCCTAAACAGGCGGCGGTAAGTGATATCTGTTCCTTGTTCCTTGATCCATTCTGTTGCCTCCAATTTCTTCCCCTGGTGGCGGTGTAAGTGGCGAATGCTAATCTGAATTCTTCATGTCAATAGGCTATGGCGCATCTGTACCGCGGGGCTACTGACTAAATCTGCGGTTAGGCTCATTCTTTTTTGCCTCTTTTATTCTTTGTATTTTCTATCGTTATTGTGTGTATAGCATGTAGATTAGGAGCATTTATGAAGTTTACTATGAAAATAGAGTCCAGAGTAATTAACCATGGTCGACTAGAGCCCTGAAGTAAGAAAATGATATCCACTTTGTATTGCGCAATCCCGCGATCGGCGTCCCGCTTGACGCGGCCCAGTTTCATGCCCCTCCACTTCCACTTCCACTCCCAATATCCCCCTCCTTTGCCTTCTTTTCTTCTCCCTTCCAATTCTCTATCACTCACACATCCCTCACAATGGCTACGTATGTCCTCAATCAGTACTCCATCTACACCAAAACGAACCTCACTAACACCACCCAGCAACATCACCTTCCACGCCGCCGGCCTAACCCGCACCGAGCGCGAGACCGAGCGCAACCAGCGCGGTCTCACAATCTGGCTGACCGGCCTCTCAGCCTCCGGCAAGTCCACCATTGCCGTCGAGCTCGAGCGCCAACTCCTCCGCACCCGTAACGTGCACGCCTACCGTCTGGACGGCGACAACATCCGCTTCGGCCTGAACAAGGACCTCGGCTTCAGCGAGGCCGACCGCAACGAGAACATCCGCCGCATCGGCGAGGTCGCCAAGCTCTTCGCCGACTCGGCCTCCATCGCCATCACCTCGTTTATCTCGCCCTACCAGAAGGACCGTGACTCTGCGCGCGCCCTGCACGAGACTCCCACCCCGGCGAGACTGCCGGTCTGCCCTTCGTCGAGGTCTACGTTGACGTCCCCGTTGAGGTTGCTGAAGCAGCGCGACCCCAAGGGTCTGTACAAGAAGGCGCGTGAGGGTATTATCAAGGAGTTCACTGGTATTAGTGCGCCTTATGAGGCGCCTGCCAACCCTGAGGTGCATGTTAAGAATGTTGATATCTCGTTGCAGGAGGCTGTTGATCAGATTATCAACTACCTCGATTCTAAGGGATATCTGCCTCCTAAGAAGGAGTAAGGGTGGTATGTGGATCTGGATTGCATGCATGGTATATGGGGGACAAAAGAATTGTGTTTGTGAGAATGTACAGTGTTATCAATGTTGAGGTGAAGCCTTTCTTCTTCTTAGATTCCCCGCAGACTGGCGCTGTATATATCGAAGATAGATTGCTTTGAAACATTGCTCTGAAAGAACTTGAAATACCTAGGTAATGAATGATGATTACTAGTAGTCGTACTCGTAGTACTCTAGGGCTGTACTAGGTAGCTAGGTAGTACCTCGGTAGATTGAGAACTTTAGCCTTGGAAGTCGTCAATGGTGATTGATCATTGATCACTCTCAATACACTACTACGACTACTCCTACCTAGGTAGTAGTAATACTATTCATGAATCTTACATCTGGGTACTAGTAGTAGTACCTTATTCTTTCAAGTTCCAATGTTATCTATAACCTCAAGTTCATAGCCATTAGTTAGCTGCTACTAGTACAAGCTCACTTCTCTTCGTCCGCACCACATAAAGCATTCAACATTCCCCTCAATATCCATCAGCGTCTAATGGCACCGCAGTGCCTTCATCAGACCAACCCTAACGTCAAGGGCCTCCGGAAATCGAAAGAAGCTTAGTCCATACGCCATATTGTCCATTCGAGCCAATGCAAGTATAGACCCGCTTATAGAACGTGGTTGAGCGAGCATTGAGCATTAACATCCAAGTTAACCAGGTTGCCCTATCAAATTATTCGTCAGTTATCGCATATTCTAGTATTTTTCAACAAAACGGGTAAAGGGGCCATACATCCGAAGTGGCATCGTGATCGCAGCAGTAGACGTCGCCAGCGGCACAGCTCTCTCCGAGAGCGCCTGGCAAGACATTACCCAGAGTGATCAGACCACTGCCGCCATTGCCGGTGCAAACAATGGTCTCATTGCTGGCACACATTTTGCCAGTCTCGGCGTCCGTCTTGGGCTCACAGCTATCGCAGGGCTTGTCAGGGCGGGCCACGGCGACCATGGCCAATGCGAGGAGAACTTGAATGACGGAAGTCTTCATGGTGGAGAATGGATGGATGGATGGATTGATTGGGAGTGGCTTGGAGAGATGAGGAAATATTAGACGAAGGGTGAAACGAGAAGTTATTTTGCGCGTTCTAATATACTGAGAAGCTGTGGGAAAATGTAACCTGACGATAGAGCTTTCTGATAGTCCTGAATTACCAGCAATTTAAGCCTTGGATGACAATGTGAGCGGCTCTCGAAAAGGGCAGATCGACATCATCAAGCTAATGATATCTAGGTGGTGCTACATGGCAGACGCCAGGTAAGGAGCCCGGGAATGTAGGCTTGAGCCCTCGATTTAGAAAGAATGCTAGTAGTATAGACTGAATTCCTCCGCGTCCTATGGATTGGCGGCTCAGGTGTCATTCAATCTTTTGCTTGCTGTGTATGATTCGTATAATCACCTGGGCATCCTACGCTACTGGCGATCCTGGTTGCGAGTTATCTTGTGATGAGTTATTTGGGGGGTGATGGAACATCTATGTAGGATAGTCCTAGTCTTCAACATAGAGGTGAAGCTGCGCAGATCTGTATTAGTATACCAAGCACAACTTGAACTTGAAGATGCAAAAACAAAAAACCTTGGAACCCCCAAAAATAGAATTGAAACAAAATACATAAAAATAAATGCTAGTTTGTGCTCGATGTACCTCGGTGTGGTATATGTACGCAACGATCGATCTCCACAACAATCGAAGATCCCGAAAGCAAAGGCCTAGGCCAAAACCAAAGCCAAGCAAGAGAAAAAACGTGAGCGGGCCTGCCCTCATCCCAATCTCATACTCCGACCAGCCAGGCTGCTCAATTGAATTCAAATTCGTAGAACACATACGGTGTGTACTCCGCGCTGCCCTCGCCTGCACCATGCATGTCTTGCGGGTCATCCCGCTGCACGCGGCCCTTCTTGTCGCGACCGAAGGCATTGCCAGCGAGGTAGGAGTACTTGTCGTCAAGGTTCTTCTTTGCTTTATCCGCTTGCTTGGAAGAGGGGGTCTAATTGATGAGTTAGTTGGGCTTGGCAGGCGCGCACTGCAGCGGAAGCCGCCGCAGCGCAGTTGAACGCGGGAGAAATGGGAGACGGAGAAACATACCCTAACCAGCGCAGAAACAAAGTCCAAAGGCAGTCCATACCGCAGCACAGTCTCAACAAAGACCCGGAGAACAAGGACATGGATCCAAACCATAACGGCCTCACTCCAAGCCGTCCTGCCAAGGCGAAGGGTCTCGCCCCAAACCTTGCGCTCATCACCACCAACACGCTCAACCTCTTTCCGCTCTTCTTCCTTGCCGCCCTCCACGTACTTGAAGTCACGGGGGATCCACTTATTCTCGCGCGCCTTGTGCACAAATTCCACGCTGTGCTTTTTGAACGTAGTCACGGCGTACAGGGTGAACTCGTTGTCAGAGGCGACTAGTGACGCAGAGCGCGGGACAACCATCGGCGCCACGGTCTCGTAGTTCTTTAGGAACTCTTTCTCTTGGGAGTTGGGGACGGCGATCAAGTGGGTTTCGATGTACTCTGAGTCTTGAACGACGGTGCGGGGATCGACAATTGAGGCAAGAGATTTTGTGGAGAGGTTTCCTCTGCGGAATAGCTGGGTTAGCTTGGGTTGGGTTGTATTGCGATATGGCATTCGCAAGCAACTTCCATCGAGCTTAATAGAGCTTGTATAGCGCGGCGGAGAGGCAGGCTAGGGGGGGGTACACACGTTTGTTTGCGTTGCAGGGTTGCCAGCGTGTTCTTGACCTGGTTATATTGCGAGTATTTGAAGCGGATGTCATTGTCGATACTGGCGCCTTCCTATACATATGTCCCGATCCAGTCAGTATATGTATCTCCAATCTCCTTGTCCGTTCAGATATAATTGAATTGTCCCCTCCCAATCTAGTTTGGCTGGATTCCTCGTGCTCCTCGACATGGCATACCTTGTGCAAAAGATCAATCAACTCCGCAAGCGATTTATCCGCGCGATACTTGACCTTATTCCACTGGAATGTGCGAAGATACTGGTCAACCGGCTCTAAATGAGAATGACAATCACATGGTTAGCTTGAACTGGCCACCTGTTTTGCTCCGCTCCGCTCCGCTCTGGCAAGCCGCAAGCTGCCAGCTGCACACCCGGCGGGGAAAGAAAAGGAATCAACCCACTATCGTTGACGACCATCATCCTCTCAATTTGGGCCTCATCACCGTCAAGAATATTCCTCAGCGCATCCGCAACCTTGGCAACAACACCCTGGCACTGGCTCTCGAGCTTGGCCAGTTCATCTGCCTGCTGGACCAGGGCGTCTAGGGTTCCGATTTTGAATTCGGGGATTGAAAAACGGGCTGCGCTACCATTTTCCGCGGACACGGTGGTGGAGATTGCTTCGAGGGCGTCGTCGGCGTGGTGTGATGGGACGACGGAGGTCGGGAGGGAGAGTAGGAGGTATTTCGGGGCGGCTTTGGACATTTTTGCGGTTGGAGTAGTGCGGTGGAAAAAACGAATAGGGGGGAGGAAAGATAGCAAAAGAGATTGTGGCCCTCCGGGCTGACTTGAGGAGTGGTGAGGTGGAGAGAAGCTCGGAGAGGTGATGGAAGACGTGGGGGGGGAATTGGGGAGGAGCTTGGAGGTTCAACGGGTGATGGCGTAGGCGGCCCCGTGATTGGTGGAGACGGCGGAGTAGACACTCATCCAGAGCATACCTAGTTACACATATCCACCAGAGATATTGCCTTCAATTACTACTACTAGCCCTGGAGTACAAGATTACCTACTAACTAAGAGTAGGTATGTGCCAGTGGCTCAATTTTCTTAGCTGTAAGAGCTTTTGGGGAAAAAAACAAAACCAGACTTGACTAAGAACTCCCCCGCTGGGTCACCACTGGCAGCCAAAGAGTGTATAGTTCATCATTACTAGGTACCTAAGTAGGTAACATCCATGGGTGAGACTCGCCGAATCCATCGGCCATCCAAATTTAGCACTATTAGATACTACTAGTTAGTTTGAACCTATCCCAAGCTTGAAAATTTCGAAGTTCAAGACTCGGAGTTAAAGCGATAATGAAAGATTCTGGAGACGAACTATACTAGTACAACAAGCCAAGGTATAACCCTGACGCTTGATTCTAGGTACTGAAGACTTAATATGAATCTACACAGAAGAAACATCCATGAAAAGACAAGAACCGCCCCAAAACTTAAAGAAAATCCGAACTTGGAAGGATGAGAGATGAAAAGATATTCCATTAGGGGAATATTCATCCACAAAAGGCACCACTAGGCGCTGCGCTTTTGAACAATGGCGAAAGAGCCCGAGGGGAGAATTGACTAGCTTCGATCCTGCGGAATATGGTAAGGACAAGACAGGACGGACGAGACAAGACAAGACAAGACGATCGCAAAAGAACGGAACAGGAACAAAAACGTGGTGATGAATGGCAAGCATTGCTGGGTAGGGTATCTGGATCGAGTGGGTAATACTGATCGTGAGCAGGGGGTGTAGAGGGGGAGGATCGATATCAGGAAGGGGCGCAAAATAAAACAAAGAAGACAAATGACCAAAGAGAAGATTGGTATCTGTACAAAATGCGCCAACAGAGGAAAGGCATCACAGTTGGGGGGGAGGGGGAGGGTTGGAGACGTCGATGATAAGAATAGGTTGCAACAACTTCCACAAAACTTCACAAAATAACACCTAGCACCCCAATCCAAGCAGTCCAATTCAAGATAAGTCAGGATCAAGAATGCAAAGAGTGTGATTTGGCGGAAGAAAAACACCGCAAAACACACGGATTATTAGCCCTGCATACCCTGGAAGATATCCTGACAATTCTCTACCAAGAACTTGAGAACATCATTCTTCTTCGACACATCTGTCATTTCACGGGCTAGACTCTCTGGCCGCATGATCGTGGGCGCAAAGACGACGGCTACGTTCTGGCTGGTCATTAGGTTCTCGTCCTGTCGCTCCACCACACGCTTCAGATGGAAAATGAGGAACTCAAGCACATCACGGTGCACGCGGGGTAGCTCTTTTAGGTTCTCAACGAGATGCTCGACTCGGGCGGCAGTGGTGGGGATCTCCGCGTAATCAATAATCATATCGTAGACTTCGTAGGTGATCAGTGGGGTTGGTAGCTTGCGGAAGTATTGCTTCAATGCAGAGGTCACCGCGTGAATATCAAGGTCCGGGTCGGAGATATCATAGTCAAATGGAGATCGTTCGAAACCTTCCCGAATGCCTTGAATGGCTGAGGCAGCACCGGACTTTCGATAAATACCTTCCATATCCATGCCTGAATGGGGTTAAAAACGATCTCACGCAGATTCAAAGAGAGAGGGAAAGGACAAACCTCGTAGTTCGACTTCTTGGATACAACGAGTGACAATGGCTGGAATAATACTCTTCTCATGCTCCATGCGAGCTTCGAGATCAGTTCCGAAAAGCGCTGGAGAAAAAAAGATTTGGCGTTAATGATTTCCAATTCCACTTTGGTCACGAAGATCCACTCACTAGTGCCTGGAATCTCAGCCAGTGTGGGCACACTGTCGGCCTGCGACATCTTGCCTCCCTGCTTATTCCTCTGGTTTCCAAAGAAGCCAAAACCCTGACGACTCGGGTCTTGAGTCTGAGAGCGAGGCAAACCACCAGCACCAGCTTCCTGCTCACCACCCATGAAGGCTCCCTTCAGACCCTTGACACCCTTGGCCACGTTTTGACCACCCTTCTTCCAGTTAAACTTGCGCGGTTGGCCCTTGCGGATATTAACCACCTGTGGGCCAGGGACAACCGTCGCAGTTGCAGGCTCACCCTCATCACCAATGTGCGCGGTAGATACGGAGGTGGGGAAATCATGGAAAGACGGCTTGATATGCTCAATGGATGGGATTGATCCACCCTTGTTATGAGAGATACCCAGTCCGTTCGGTCCGCGGTGGCCCTCCGGGTTGTTCTTGTACAGCTCCTGGATCT